ATACAATTCTGTGTGGTGCAATTTGAGCCCATTTTTTTGAATGGGCTCAAATCATATCAAGTCGCACCAAAGAAGTGCAGGCACCTTTTTTTTGAACTGCAACAGAACCGGATCACATGGTATTTTTTATACCAATTCCATCTGGTTCAAGCAAACGTACTGCGTTTGCGACTTGCTTTTGGGGTGTCGTTAACTTTTTATTGATACCTGCAGCAGATCGCAAAACACAGTGCATTTGCAATGCGGTGCAGGAAATGCACAGGGATCACAGTATTTCAATCACCGCATCAGTGTGAACCAGGGCTTATAATTTAGTTTACCCAAAACTCTATATGCCCAGATTATTATAATTTTAAAGTGTTACTAACCCACAACAGTAAAACAGTCTGTATATGCAGTAAAGCATGCTTGCTATACTCACTGTGGAACCTAAGGGGTTAATCCTCTGCATTGTGTAAAAAGGCTACTTGATCCTGACTTCTCTGATCCCCCCCCCCCTTCTTCCAGTGTCCTCCTCTTATCTCCTGATTAGACATATGGTGTGGAGACACAGCAAATGCTTAGTTTGGTGTATATTGCTAGAGAAGTTTTTTTTTTCTTGGGAGAGTGCATGTGATCAGCACAGGGCCAATCAGCACTGTCCAGAAAGAGGTCAGGGGTTCTGCATCCTCCTAGAGCAGAAAGAAAACTCCTACAAGCTTTAATCAGTGCTCTGCTGGACACTGATATAAGTCACAAGACTGCTGTAATTGCTGATGAGAAAAGGTATTTAGCAGTTTATATTTACTAAAATAATTGCATTTCATGTTCTGTGTAGTGTGAGAGACCAGATATAGGGGATGCAGGGCCGGGGTTTAGTAACACTTTAAAAACCGTGTAGCGGTAAAAGAGGTTACAGCAGAATTTAAGGGTACTTCCTTGTATCTGCTTGTTGATTTACATAGAGGCCAGCACTGTAATGCTAACAGCATGCAAACTGTGGATAAGATAAATCCCCTACTTCAAAGATAGGAAATATTATTATTATTATTATACAGGACTTATATAGCGCCGATAGTTTGCTCATCGCTTTACATTATGGAGAGAGACAGTACAGTAACAATACAGTTCAATACAAGAGGGATTAGAGGGCCCTGCTCCTTGGAGTTTATAATCTAGGAGGGAGTGGATAGTGGTACAAGAGGTAATTAGCTGTGGGGGATGGAGTGTTTGGGGGAGTAGGGGATTCTAGTAGTTAGCCAGGGTCGGGGTAGGCTTCCCTGAAGAGATGAGTTTTCAGAGTGCGCCTAAAAGTTAGCAGGGTAAGCGATAGCCTGATAGCTTGCGGTAGGGAGTTCCAGAGGATGGGTGAAGCCCGTGAGAAATCCTGGAGACGAGCATGGGAGGAGGAGACAAGGGAGCTAGAGAGTAGGAGGTCTTGCGAGGAGCGGAGAGTACGGTTTGGGTGGTATTTAGAGACAAGGTCAGTGATGTAGTTAGGGGCAGTGTTATGAACGGCTTTGTACGTCAGTGTTAGTGTTTTGAATTTTATCCGCTGGGCAATTGGAAGCCAGTGAAGGGATTGGCAGAGAGGGGTGGCGGATACAGAGCGGTTAGTAAGGTGAATGAGTCTGACGGCAGCATTCATGATGGACTGGAGTGGGGATAGCCTGCGATGAGGTAGGCCAATGAGGAGGGAGTTACAGTAGTCGAGGCGTGATATAATAAGGGAGTGGATGAGTTGCTTAGTGGTTTCCGAGATTAGGAACGGTCGTATCTTGGAGATGTTGCGTAGGTGAGCGATTGGACCTGGGGCTGAAAGGACAGATTGGAGTCTAGGATTATACCTAGTGCCTTGGCGTGAGGGGTGGGACTGGTGATAGTGTTGTTGATCTTGATTGAGAAGTCAGGGGGGAGGGGGCACAGGCTGGGGGGAATACTAGAAGCTCAGTTTTGGAAAGGTTGAGTTTGAGGAAGTGGAGTGACATCCAGTCCGATATGTCACTTAGTAGGCTGGTGATGCGATCGCAGACTGAGGGGGTGAGGAGAGGGGTAGAGAGATAGATTTGTGTGTCGTCGGCATAGAGATGGTAGTTGAAGCCGTGTGGGTTTATCAATTGGCCAAGGGAGGAGGTGTAGATGGAGAAGAGGAGGGGCCCGAGGACAGAGCCTTGATAGACCCTGACAGAGAGAGGGAGTGAGGGGGAGGTGGCAGCGTTATAGGTAACACTGAAGGAGCACTGCGATAGATAGGAGGAGAGCCAGGAGAGAGCGGAGTCTCTGAGGCCAAGAGAGTGTAGTTTTTTGAGGAGGAGGGGGTGGTCAACCATGTCAAAAGCTGCAGAGAGGTCAAGTAGTAGGAGTATAGTATAGTGGCCATTGGTTTTGGTGGTTAGTAGGTCATTGGTGAGTTTGAGTAGGGCAGTTTCGGTGGAGTGTAGGGGGCGGAAGCCGGAATGTAAAGGGTCGAGAAGGTTGTTGTCGTTGAGATGGGAGCTCAGGTGATTGTAGACTAAGCATTCTAGGAGTTTAGAGGTAAATGGCAGTAGGGAGATGGGTCTTAGGTTGTTCAGGTCGGAGGGGTCCAGGGAGGGTTTCTTAAGTATGGGAGTGATAATATAAAAGTATTACAACCTTTGACTCCGTACAGAATTAAGGGGTTTCCCTTACTCAGATTTGTTGAAGGTTAAAAATATTTCTGAACATATGCAAACATAGTGAAATTCTTTGTCTGATTTCTGTTCTGTTTGAATTAATAATTGAGATTCCACTAAATGTGTGTTGGGATGTCATCTTGAGCTGTACATAGTGTTCATATGGCTGGGGCTTGCTGCACAAACATGGTGGGCTTGTTGATTTTTTTTAGGGTGCACTCACACTGGCAGTTTTAACTGAGCCTAAACATAGGCATAGTTTACCCCCTTGGTCCAGTTTGTTTGTGTCCTGACCATGCCTGGGAATGTTTTAGTATTCCGGAAGAGGTGGTTCCTGGCACAGTTTACTTGTGGTCCTGTTCAGTTCCTCTCTGTGCGAGTGCAAACTGTGTCTGAGCACAAAACTCTGCATAGATGATAGAGCCCAGAAGCAGGGATCACTGTGGTCTGGTTGGCAGAGGTGATGATGAAAGTGTACCCGGGGAACATTTGCTTATGACCCAGTGTGAGTGCAGATCAGTGGGGAACGTTAACATTCAAAATCGGGCATGGTTCGGTTCAGCCGTGCCCATTGAGTGCACCGTAATTAGATGGCTTTTGGATTCCCTTCACCTCTAACTGTATCCCGTTATAAGTAATATACCTTAGAATATTTTTACTGTTTAAAAGTTATACAACCATAACAAGGTCATGCATAAAAAGGCATATTAATTGCCTTTAAAGGATTCAAAAGTTCACCTTTTGGGAACGTTACATGTTCCACCCGTTTCCAATGCTGCAGCTGCTGCCTGATCCCCCCCTCCCTGTGAAAGCTGTACAGGGAGATGTTCTCCATACAAGCTGTCACTTTTTTACCCTAGGTTCACACCTAAGCATTTTCTGCAGCCTTTTTGCATTTTGCAGAAACGCACTACAGTCCATTTAACATGATTTCCTGTGGGGCATGTTCACATATCCGCGTTTTCACCCGGTGAGCTTTTTGTAACGGGTCAAGGACTTTTTGGAACGCAAAAAGTAGCATTTTTGGTTCTATAGACTTCAATGGACATGCTGCAAAAAAGCATGTAGTGCGTTTTTGATGCATTTTGCATTTTAAATCTGTCTAGCAACAGGAAAAAAAACATTCAAAAAACCTCCCACAAAGTGCATCAGAAACGAAACGTAAAACGCATTGCAGAAACGGGTCTAACGCAAACTGCATAGGTGTGAACCTAGCCTTAAAAAACAGGACAGCCGTGCGGGGCTTCACGCACACAGGTGTGTCATTCATTCACAGAGTTCTGTGAATGAATGAACTACAAGACCGGCTGTCGGCTTGTAGTTCTCAATGAACTACCACGGCAGAGCACCGTGGTACTTCATTGATTCTTCCTGTCAGAATATCTGCTTGCTTGCACGTCCCATACAGCAAGAAGATATTCTGACAGGTGTGCAGGAGACCTGCATGGAATCAGTGATCAGCAACGCCTTACAGGCTACTGCAACAAAACAAATAAATGCACATTTTTTTTACCTGCAAAAAATATGCATTTATTATTTTCTGTCAAAAGGTTGACTTATCCTTTAATGTTGGTTCTCAATACCAGTCGCTTGTTTTTTGCACTAGAAAATCTGGGTTTATATGACTTACCTCTTACAGGTGTATAGTGTGGTTAGGGGATTCTGTTTTTGAAAAAAGAAACAATAAAGAAAACTGACATTGGAAAGCTTTGGTTGACTCTGCTTTGCTCTAATGCGATGGAACTAAACCTGGCAAAGCATTTCGGAATAAGGAAATCTAGTTTGATATGCATTGTCCTGCGAATAAATTAAAAGTAAATCCGAAATCGATAAAATCAAAGCACATTGTATAATTTAAATATGCATTCTACAGCTGTGTTTAAATAGATTTTAAAAAGTGTATGTATTTGTTTAACCTCTTGCCGACCGCGCATAGCCGAATGACGGCTTCACCGCGGCCGGCAAGTTTTGGGTGGACGTCATATGACGTCCTCTCAGAACGCGCTCTCCTGCGCGCCCCAGGGGGCGCGCACCCGGCGATCTCCGTGATCGCTGTGTCCTACGGACACAGCTGATCACGTGATGTGGTAAAAGGCCAATCACAGCGGCCTTTTACCACCTGATCAGCGGTGTCCAATGACACGCTGATCAGAGGGAAATGCAAGTGCCGGTTCTCGGCTGCACTTTCCTCACACTGTCAGATCGTGAGGAAAGTACTGCCGAGAACCGGCAGTTGTCAGAGCGGGGATCGGCACCGATCATCAGGGCACTGATGATCAGTGCCCTGATGATCGGTGCCCAGCAGTGCCACCCGCAAGTTCCGCCCAGCAGTGCGCCCACTAGCTCCGCCCACCCGTGCCCAGCAGTGCACCCACCTGTGCCCAGCAGTGCACCCACCTGTGCCACTCTGCAGTGCCACCTACATGTGCCCAGCAGTGCCACCCACCTGTGCCCACCCACCTGTGCCCACCAGTGCCACCCACCTGTGCCCACCCACCAGTGCTGCCCACCAATGCCACCCACCAGTGCAGCCCAGCAGTGCTGCCAGTCAGTGCCACCAGTCAGTGCCCAGGGGTTGTATCAGTCAGTGCCGCCAGTCAGTGCCCAGCAGTGATGATGCCAGTCAGTGCCGTCTATCAGTACCCATCATCAGTGTCACCTATCAGTGCCGCCTATCAGTGCTGCATATTAGTGCGGCCTATCCGTGACACCTCATTAGTGCTGTCTATCAGTGCCCTTTAGTGCTGCCTATCAGTGCCCATCAGTGCCGCCTATCAGTGCCACCTATCCGTGACACCTCATTAGTACTGCCTATCAGTGCCCTTTAGTGCTGCCTATCAGTGCCCATCAGTGCCGCCTATCAGTGCCCATCAGTGCTGCCTCATCAACGCACATCAGTGAAGGAGAAAAAATGCCTGTTTGAAAAATTTTATAATAGAAACAAAGAAACTTTTTTTTTTTTCAAATTTTTTGCACTTTTTTATTTATAGCGCAAAAAGTAAAGTGCCCAGCGGGGAGTAAATACCACCAAAGAAAGCTCTATTTGTGAGGAAAAAATGATCAAAATTTCATATGGGTACAATGTTGCATGACCCGCGCAATTGTCAATCAAATTGCGGCAGCGCTGAAAGCTGAAAATTGGCCTGGTAAGGAAGGGGGTATAAGTGCCCGGTAGGCAAGTGGTTAAAAAAAATAAAATATAAGTGTGTGTGTGTGTATATATATATATATATATATATATATATATATATATATATATATTTATAATACACCCACACCATCTTCCTATGTGTGGGGGGAGGCATGTTTCCATTGCCTGAGGGTGCCAGCTGATTGACGTCAGTGGGAAATTGCGTTCCCCATCTATGTATGATGTGTCAAGCAGGGCTGGGCAGTCGGCGCGGTGGCAGAGCTGACTATGGCACTTCAGGCTCATGTTGGCACAGTGTCTTGTAGCTCTGAGTAGCAAGCTGTAGGACACAAACTGACTGTGCTTTTGTACTTGCCATGGTCGGTAAGCTACAGGAAGGGAGGAGAACTGGCAGGATCATCAGTTATATGCTACGAAAGAAAATATTAGTGGCTAATGAAGGGACATTTATTAGTTATTTATAAAAATTAGGAATGCATTAGTTAATTATCAATTTTAAGTTTTTCCATACACTTTAAACTTTTTCTTTTCAAAATGGGGAAAACAGAACCTTGGTACTCGGTGTTCTGCTTGAGTATTTTTTCTGTGACTGCTCGCCTCCCAAGGGTTGGCCACTGTGTGGTTGCTCAGTGCGTTCTTATCAGAGCGACCCCCTGCCTATAACTGAAATCCCGATTCTCCAGCTGCGCCCGTAACACGTCCTTTCCCCCTCCCCATGCGGTCAGACCTCACAGCTGTCAGATGAACCGTCTCTCTGTGCAGTCGGGGGAGGGGATCTCCAGAGAGGCTGTCAGCGCTGCACACAGATATTCAGCTAAACAATTCCCCATTGAAAGCACTCAGGAAATGGGCAGGACGCGTCTCCCTGTGTCTGTTGACTGTGGTTTCAGTGTCAGGGGCACACCGGGCGTCTCACATGGTGCTTAGTGGGTGAAGGGACACAGGAGGGAAGCCCAGGTTCCTTTCATAAGCACCTTGTTCCCCTGCCAGGGACCTCCCACCCTCTCTCCCTCTAGCACTACCAAGAAACTGTCAGCTTTATGTGCTGGAGTGTGGAAATTGCTTCCCTGCCAAATCCCTGAGATGAATAGGGAGCTTTCTTATTAATAATTGCTATTAGAGGAACGTGTAAGTCCCAGGCTCTGGCTGGCACAGTTCCAATCACGAAGCTTGTGCTCATCATCATCTCTGCGTTCGCGCTTTCACCTTCCTTCCAAAGGGTTAACGTTTCCAAGGAGGCAGCCCACCCCTGTCGCATCCAATTTGTAGTGTCAGGGAGGCTGGAGGGGGTTTAATTAATGTCTGCTCTCTGGTTTGAGGCAGCGTTCATGTGGGCCCTTTGGGTTTTCTGTGATTAGGAGAATTGATTTGAAGAGGAAATTACTTGGCGAGGGCGAAGGTGGGGAGGAAGGAGGCTGGATGATAGCGTCGGAGGAGCCGGGAGATAATTGAAGGGGATAAGCGGGGGGGGGGAGGAAGCGGAGAGAGGCTTTGGCGACTGCAATAAGGATCTACGTGAGCTAAGAATAAGCGAGGGTTATGTGAGAGGTGAGAGTGCCTGCGCCGTGTATTGGGCAAAGCATCATATAATCAAGAGGAAGAAAAAAGGACCCAGTTTCCAAATCTCTGATTTCTACAGCAGCTGCAACAATCACATTTCATACATGTCTTGAGCCAGCCTATGGCTCTCTGGGTGACTTGGGACTACTAGTTCCATTATTGTTTTACAGGTGCATTAAGGGAAACCTGCAGCATTTTACACTTTTTTTATGTTCAGTTTAATCACTATGATCCCTTTTGTTGTCTCTCTTTTTTCCTCTTTGTCTTTACAGACCATGTACAGTATGATTCATGTGAAAAAAAAATGATGAGGTACTATAAAAATATAAAAGGAAGGAATGAGACTATAGTGTATTACGGCATATTTTCCATAGGTACACAATGCAATAGGTTTTTCTCTTTTTCAATTGAAACAGAAACCCTTTTGTAAGTTCCACAAACTTGAGATAAAAGTTATATTCCACTAAAATGGTTTTGATGAACATTCATAGATCTATTAGTAGTAAAAGTCATGACTCTACAACAGTACATAACTTAAAAGCTTCTTGGTTCTTCCTCTATCTAAAGATTCAAATTATTAATATAAATAGCAATTCAGTATAGTAAGCTGACCACACCAACTTTTTAAAACCAGCTATGAAGTAGTAAAAACCCTCTATTGACAGGCTAGTTGTGATAGGATGGGTTGAGTCCCCTTAGATGATGGTTTTCCTGCTGTGTACCAGCACCAGAAAAGTAGTTTTGAAGCTGCTTAGGTGCTCAGAGCTGCTGTGTGTTCTAGACATGATTTTGGCTTTGAGGCCTAGAGGCAAGTGTTTAGGCACGCTGACAGAGGAGAGAACCCGGGGATAACGTTTATTCTTAGTCTAGAGAGCAAGCTGGAGGTGGCAAGGTGACCTAGAATGGTCCTGAATGGCTTCACCCTCTGTCAATGTAGTGTAGAAGGTGAATCACAAGATTGACTGAACTGAATTGGAAGTATTTTCAGCAGGTAAAAGAATTAAAATGCACAAGTTTTACTTTTTTCTTTGTCTGTTTGACTGGAGTTTCCCTGTAACAGAAAACTGAAGCATTTTTAAAGCAATTCCACTGCCACAATTCATCAACGTAACATAAAGCTGACAAGCAACATTGCGCAGCCACAAAACAATGTCGCCACCACAGCACAGGGGAATGCATGGAAGGTTTTTGCTTAGTTCTACACTGACAGTCATCTGTTTTTTAAAGGATAAGTTCACCTTTTGGACAAATATAATAAATGCACATTTTTTTGCAGGTAAAAAAAATGTGCATTTATTATTTTTGTCCAAAGGAGCCTGGAAAGCATTGCACCAGTGATCAGTAGATCGCTGATGCCATGCAGATCTCCTGCAGACCTGTCAGAATATCTGCTTGCCGTACGGGATGTACGGCCAAGCAGATATATTGACAGGAAGCTTCAATGAACTAGCACGGCTCCACAGCGCCCTGGTAGTTCAATGGAAACTACAAGCTGACAGCCGTTCAGGCTGCTGGGACTCGTAGGCTCTCATTCACAGAACGCTGTGAATGAGTGACACGGCCACGTGGGCAGGGCCCCGCACGGCTGTCCTGTTTTCAAATCTGACAGATAGTACAGGAAAACTTCTCCCCGTACTATCTGTCAGGGAGGGGGCGTGGCTGCCGCTATGGGAACATTACATGTTCCACCCTAAAAACGTGTGGAACATGTAACATGTTTTTAAAGATGAACATATCCTTTAAAGGGAACTGTAAATTTTAGTCAGTGTACAGAATTGATATCAGATTGATACATCCTCAATGTGTTTATTTTTGAAGGTGTTCCAGTAGCACATGTGCCCATTATGGCTCCTCTTTCTTTCATGTCATCCACTAATTATGTTAGTTGTCACGTCTAGTCCACCCAGCCAGTCTTCCTGCAGTCATTATGTTATCACTTGGTGATAAGTTTGGATCCTCAGCGCGGCTTTCAATTGTCCGATATCCCTCAGTTTAAAAATGAACGCAATAGGTGGTACCTCGGAAGCTGCTTCTTCCACGTTGCTACGGAAACCACAGCCAGTGCCTGAAGACAGGAAAGGGCAGGCGTCCCTTCTCAGAGCTGTCTGGAGCTCCATTGATGGAGTGAGATTAGATGAACGCAGATAATTGAGGGTCACTGAGCTCTGTCTGACAGGCTGTCTTCAGGGAGGTTAAAGCACAAGCTTTTTTTTTTTTTTTTTTTTCATTGTGTGTGAATGAGAATAAAATATGCAGAGTCAAGCCTGGACACATGAGGAAATTTTATTGGGTGTAATCAGGCAGGTATATGATATAATTGTTTATAAAGCCATCTGCAGGATTTTGTGGGTGTTTTAGTTTTTTTGTTAGTCTTTAGATTGCCTGGAGTTAAACAGTATAAATCCCTGTTTAAGAAACTCCGAATAGACTATCTGAAATCTCATGTAGTGATATTAAATTTTTACTAAACCCAGGACCCTGCATTCATTATATCTGGCCTCCCACAGTTCACAGAACAAGTAAATATAAACTGCTAAATCTCATCAGCAATATATAGCAGTCTTGTGACTTCTATCAGTGTCTAGCTGAGCACTGGTTAAAGCTTGTAGGAGGAGTTTTCATTCTCCTCTGACTGTCCTATGCGGCTGCATGACCCCTGAACCTCTGTTTGGACAGTGCTGTTTGGCTCTGTACTGATCACATGCACCCTCACCCAAAAAAATAAATAAATAAATAAAAAAAAGCCTCCCCAGCAATACAGACTAAACTATCTGCTGATAGTACAGAGCCCTAGGAGGCACTCTGCACATGCTCAGATTGGGGACTGTAGAAGAAGGATAGGATCAGAAAAGACAAGATCAAACAGCCTTTTTACACAATGTGGAGGATTAACTCTTTAGGTTCCACAGTGAGAATCACAAGCATGCTTTACTACATATACAGACTGATTTTACTGTTGTGGCTTTAGTAACACATGGGGCTCCTCTCCCTTTCCAAGTGCCCCCAGAGCAAGCCACTTACTATGGGAGTACTTGTGCATGCTCGCTCCTGAGCCCTGCTCTGTGTGTCCATAAGACACTCAGAGAGCTTGCCCTGCCCCTGCTTCCTCCTCACTAG